GGGGTGGTACTGAACCCCCACAAAAAAAGGGTGACTGGCTCCTAAGCAGATGGGCCCAGTGTCATCAACACCCCACAGGAAGCACTTTTGGAACAACTGTGAGAATGGCACAGGACTAGTGTCTCCTTGTACACAGGGTGGCTATGAGTCACAATGGCCCTGGTGGCACCTCAGGCATCACTTTAGAGGGAAGAAATCCAGGACTGTGGCCCTTAGCTCTGGGCTGGGAGAGAAAGCCAGTGGTTAATACAATCAAGGATATAACTTCAGTCAGCTGCTCCCTGGCCACGTGGGGGAGGTGCCTGCCCAAGGCTGGCCAAAGGGCAGGGCTCCAAAAGAAAAACAGAAGGTCAAGCAGCACACCTGACACTCGTGACTTCCATGCCAACAACCTCGATGTGAAGCCGTTTTGTAAAGTCCTGCTTCCTGCTAGGATCCTCTCGGAGTTTTAGGCAAACGGCTGCTCACCTGGAGGGAAGCTCAGTTGATGGCCCCCAGGCACACACCCCACCTGGCCGGGCCACCCAAACAGCAAGTGAACAGCAAGCCAGGCCCCTCGTTCTCCATGGTTTATTTAAGTTAGAGCGTATACACAGGTCCAACCCTGACACTGGGCAGGCAGCTGTGCCTACTATTACATCACACTAAGAAAACAGCTCTTCACACCCCATTCCAGCTGCACCAGTGCTGTTCTGGAAGAAAGACAGCCAAAGCTGTCTGTCTAGAAGGGCTTTGGTGACAGCTCCCCACAGGCTCTGTCCTTAGAGCAACCCCTTGATGCAAGGAGAAGCAGAGCCAGAGCACACTTCCAGGGCAGACTCCTCCACCAGTCCATGCAACGGCAAAGTGGCCAAGTCCCATAGCTCAGGGCCACGTGGAGTCTCACTGCTCCTGGTGGCAGCAATGCCCTCAGGCCACCAGCACCAGCGTGCTGCAAGTACTGGCCGTGCGTGCCTTCCCGTGCTTCCATGCGCAGTTGGGGGCACACTTCATACCAGCTCTGGGATCCACATTGACAAGGCGAGGTAGTTGGAGAAACGTGGCACTGGGGGCACTGCCAGCCCCTCTGTCGTCAGCGCCCCGCAGGCTGCTCTCCTCAGGAAATGTGAAGGCAGGGTGCCGGCAAGCCAAGTCAACACATGATGGACAGACACGTCAGAGTTTCCCAAATACCTTTCCCCATAATAAAATAATTTTAATAAAAACATAATTTAAAGGAAGTGTCAAAAGCCGAGTGTAAAATCAAAGCTGTAAACGCTATCAAAAGTCGAAGGTTCTTGTGAAGAAGCATCCCTGTTTAAAACAAAACAAAGCAATTTTTCAGCAATCATGTGATGTCTGGTAAGCTGCCTGGTCAACTGTGAAAAACAGCTGGAGCCTCCTGTGAGTCAAGTCGCCTTACCCTCCAGAAACCAGACACCAACCCTGCCTCAGCCCCACACAAACAGGGCAGCTGGCTGGGCTCTAGCTTGGCCCCTTACAGGAGCAGCACAGCAAGAGGCCGGGGGATGGAGGGACGCTCACTACCCCAAGGAGTCTGGGGGAAACAGTCTGCTCTGTTTCCGAGAGATTGCAGCCTAGAGGCCTCTGGGGCAGTGCCACCCTGCCCTGTATGGTCGCTATCAGATGGAGCCTTTGGACAGGAGTGGACCCCCACGTGTGGGGACCACACTCGTAAACCTGGTATTCCCTTCAGAACTCAGACTCCTGACCACCACCTCCCCCATCTGGCCCCTTTCCGAGCAGAGCATGGCCTTCTCTGGATGGAACCCACCCTACCAGCCCACGTCAACAAGACACCACACAGTTCTGGTCCTTCCATCGAGTTGCTAATGCCCGGCCCTGGCCCGATGAAGAATAACATCCTAAGTCTGCCCAGAACTTGTTTGGATTTTGAAGGATTTAGACGAAGCAGCACTCAACATAGCAACTGTATTTTGTAAGCAGCTTCAGGCGTAAAGCCTCCTTGATAAACTGAGGCTCTGACAACCACCACAATGTCCCTCCTACCACCGCCTTCAAGGTCTCCTAGGCTTACGGCCAAGGTGATGAGGGTCTAAGCCAATTCCCAAGAGCTAAGCAGATGTCCACCCCAACTGGGAAGCGAGGCAGCAGCTGACATCACTGAGAAAGCAGGCTGCCCAGTGCCTGCCCTCCGAAG